CAGAAAGGAAAGAAGAGTTTAAAGAGTGTAAGGCTATCAAAAGAATTTTGCTAATCTGTTTCCTTAATGACAAAAAATTATAAAGCATTTTCAAAGAAGACTGCATGTTTTTAGAATCGCAAGCTAAGAAAAAGTTAAAAATAATCCAAAGAACAAGAAGTAAAAGAGGCAAATTTCCTTAGCTAAAAAAATTGTTAAATTTTTGGTAACTTTTAGCTTCTTTGTAGGCAAAATTTCTGCTGTTTGCAATTCTCCAAACACCTTTAGTAAATTATTAAGTAAACCTTTTGAATAATTCTAATAAAAAGTCAAAAAAAGTGGTTTTAAATGTTTATGCTAGCAGATAAATGTCACTGATTAAAAGATAGAATACAGCTTAGTTTTTGTTAACAAATTATAGGTTTCAAAATCTGCAGCAAGCATTATTCACTTCTTTAAGTTTATTATAAAATGCCAAAAGAATGCATTTTACAATTAGACATCAGGTAAACGACTTAGTGTTTGATCTGAAAAAATTCACTTAAAAAAGTTTTATTTTAGCAAATGGAAAAAGAAGGTGAGACACAAACTTAAAAACATTTTAAACTTTACTTTGAAGCTCCAACTGTCATCTTCTCAGCACAAATGCTGTTAAAAACTTATAGTTAAAAAATTATAAACTTTTTACAACGATATTTCACGTAAAATGTCACTATATAAGAGCTTGAGAGAATGTTCAAAAAGTTGAGTAAGAAATTGCAATTAATAGTGCAAATTTGAGTCTTTACCTGGACATTTTTTAAATAGATGACATTCAATTGGTGACCCATCTTCGTAGAAGATTTGGCGATGGGTAAGTGGACAACGGAAATCATCATCCATTGACGGGAAACCTGTATATGGTGAAAGCGTCTTCAGTTGTTTGTCTTTCAGCAGATTTTGACGATCAATTTCTTTTTGTATATCTAAAACTAATATTTTTTCTTGAAAAAAAAATTATAAATAGAAAAAAAAAACTTTTTGAAGGGTTTATTTGTTAATAATAAACATAAAAAACTTTTAGCGATATAGTAATTATTCAAATAATCCTGGTTTCTTCTAGGATATATTGACAACTTGTAAGCAAATAGACATACCAACAATGCGAAGTTGCCTTGTGTTGTACAAGACAGGTACAGCAGTGGTGGTAGTAAATCGTTTATTAAAAACAGCAACTTTATAAGGTTCAATTTTTCCGGTTTTAGTACCGTTTCTGACCCGATTTTTATTGCTTGAATGAGTGCCTTTTGAGGATTTTTCTTTCTTCTTCATACAACAAAATCCTATTATTGAATTCGGATTTCTATTCAGACATTCGTATCCTAATCTTTAATAAAAAATAATATTTCTATGTGTCATCATTATATGATATATCACATCATAAAATCGTTGTTTAGATATGAGCTGATTTAAATCAGATACACAAATCACTGACTTCTCCAAATAAGATATTGTAAAAGCTGTGTATAGTTGTTTAAAACATCAAAGGTGTATTCAAGTAATTCAGGTAACTAAATATTCAGTAAAGTTTACACTACAAAATTGGGTTGACCTACAAGTTTTAACGGCTTAGTGAGCAAGATAGTTGCAAATTAACGATATTATAATAAGCATGTTTAAAAAAAA